GGCATTGCATGCACACAGTGCTCAGACATACATGTAGGTAAAACACTCAGAAATATGAAATAAGAATGGGGGTGTGGCTGGAGAGATTGTTCGGTGGTTAACAGCACTGACTGCTCTTCCAGGCTCAATTCCCAGCACCCACATGGCAGCTCACAACTGTCTGTAATTCCAAGATCTGACCCTGTCACCCAGATATGCATAGGCAAAACAGCAATGCACATAAAATTTTTTAAAAAATGTTAAAAAAAAAAAAAAAAGAAAAAAGGGAGAATTTTCTTTCTCTTAGAAATTTAAGAATTTTCTTTTCTCTTAAAAAACAAAAGTAGATGCCTATGAGCCTGGAGAGCAAGCCAGCAAGCAGCATTATTCTATGGTCTCTGCTTTCTTTTCTGCTTCCAGCTTCCTGTTTCTTCTCCTGCCTTGACTGTTCTCTATGATGGAATGTCATCGGGACATGTGAGTCAAATAATTTTTTTTTTCTACAAGTTACTTTTGGTCGTGGTGTTCACCACATTAGTAGAAAGCAAACTAGGACATACACTAAAAATCCTTAAAAACAAAACAAAACAACAACAACAAAAAAAAAACCAAGAACATGTGATACATACACAATGGAGTAGACTAGGCCATAAAGGGTTCAGGGAGATGGAACGGGAGGGTGGAACCAGAGACCATCAGGGTAAATGAAATAGGCCAGACTTAGAAACACAAGCATTGGCTGCCCATGTGTGGAACTCCTCTCTCTCTCCTCTCTCTCTCTCTCTCTCTCTTTCTCTCTCGACATACAAGTAGAATAGGAATTATTTGGGAAGAAAGGGACTAACAGGGATGGGTTTTGAGAGATTGTAATGGGAGACATGAACAAAACACACAATATAAATTTGTAAAATTTCATAATGAAACTCATTCATGTATCTGCCATGAGTGTATAAGCCTCCCCGGAAATGTTCAGTGTTGACATTTCCTTCTGGAAGAGACCTTCATTACAGTCCCATCCCCCCAGCCCCCCCCCGACCTCTGCTTCCCAAATTCTGGGATTGTAGGCATTTTGACTGAAAAAAAGACTGAAGGCCTGACAGCTCTGCAAGGTTGTCCCTGGGCTGAGAGTGCTCATCACTCACCACCCGGTGTAACCTGTCCCCAGGCATTTTCAGTCCATGAGTGCCAGCTCTGACAGTGAGAAACTCGCAACTGTGAAGCCATCAGCCTGTGGCTTGGCTGTCACGTTAATACAAATGTTTCCAAAGCCAGAGCTTCATTTTTCAGTAGGTTAATACTGAAACTGTTAATCCCACAACTGTGGAGCCATCAGCCAGTGGCTTGGCTGTCACGTTAATACAAATGTTTCCGAAGCCAGAGCTTCATTTTTCAGTAGGTTAACATTCCTGGCAGCATGGAGTCTGCCCACCAGCATGAGAGCTTGCCCTGGAGCCCATCTGGGCTGTACCCATCAGGCAGTCTCTCTTAGGGAGACAGGCTTTGTTGTACTTTTTCATAAGACCAATTAATTGCTATAGATGGCCTCAGGGAGTGTGAAAAGTAAAATGGCTCCAGGAAAAGCGAGGACAAATATTGAGTGTTTTCATTGTTCTACTTTCTCCCGAAGGCTGAGGCTTGTGCTTTTGTGTTTGTGTGGATGTGGATATGTGAAGCCCAAGTCCTTCCAGTAGTCTTGCTTTGCTCTGGAGATGTAATCAGTTGTTCCTGTCGCCACGCTATCCGGTGTATTCCTAGGCTAGCTACCATGGTGCACGACACTGTAACCCTGCCTTGAAGGGTGAAGGAAGGCGGTTGAACAGTTTGAGGCTGGCCTAGCTTACATAGTGAGAGCCTGTCTCAAAAACCAAACCATAGCAAAATAAACAAACTAAACAAAATCAAAAAGAAGAAAGGCATATACTTTTTAAATTTTTATTTATTAGTTTATTTATTTATTTACTTTTGACAAGGTCTCCGAACTGTAGCACAGGATGGCTCCAGACCCTCAGCAATGCTTCTGCCTCAGCCTCTGGGGCATTTGGATGATAAGCACGTGCTCCCACACCCATTTCATGAGGCCTAAATGGAACAAGCTGGGCAAGGCCCCCACCTACTGTGCTGCACCCCCAGCCCCTATCAGCATTCAGGTTAACATACAGAGTAATGAGTTTTATAGTGACACATGTATGCCATTGTGCTCATTCTTACCCGTCCCTCCTCCCACTATTCTCTTCCCTCCCCACCCCTTGCTGGTTCCCACATCCCACTAGGTCCTCTCCTGTTTCCATCACCCTCTCTTCCCTTCAAATCTCTTCAATTGTTGGGTCCCAAGAAATTCCTTTTTCCAAAGTCTGGCATTTAGATAAGCCAGCATTCCCTCGGGGATTTAAAGAAATAGTTCCTATTTGGTAAAAGGAGTCATTCCGCTGATCTCTGGCAAAGGGACGTATGGCGCCTCCACTAACCTAGGCCTGTTGGTGCCTGTTAGCAGATCTTGATACCTCTAGGCTTCCTCAGTCCCTACTTACAAGTACCTGTTGCAGAGTCATCCTGGCCAGCATGCAAACTCTGTGCCCTACCCTAAACCTCTCCAGCCCCTGAGTGTCACTTCCCTTCCGCCTAGTATTGTCTTCTATTCTTTGTTTTCTCTTGTATAACTCGCCCATTTTGGCTGCACATTCTCTTAGTGCTCTTTGCCTCTTGGTCCTTGGCTTCTCTTTCTGCCCCCTCTTTCACCCTTCCCCCATCTCTCTCCTCTCATGGCCTAGTTCAGCCTGAACCCTTCCAGCTGCCCTTGGCTGTACCCTCCCTCACATCTTCAATAAAAATCTTCTCCTCAAGCATATCTAGGAGCAGTCATGTGCTCATTTTTCATTCACCTGTGTAAACTAAGATAGCAACAGGTGTATTTTTATTACGCAATAAATGTTCTCTGTATACCCACATGTGTCCATATTTGTTCCATCTGTCCATTCTTCTCATGCCAGCCGCATGCCTACGAGAGTATTTTCGTCTTTGGGATTATATTTCTAACAATGGGCTATGTTCTAGCTCGTTCACCCAAGAGCACCAGGAGGTGCCGACCTTTCCCTGTTGGGGAGACTCCCCACAAAGCAACTATAGACTCTTCACAGACAAGGTCACTGAAGGCCAGACGGAAGGTAGAGTCGAGCAAAAGGTCAACCAAACAGATTTTGAAGGGTGTTCCAAGCAATCAGGGCAGTGTGGGAGGGTCAACTTCAGGTCTGGACAGCTCAGTGACTCCACTGTTTTCTGAAAAACTGCAAAGTTAAGGCAGGTGTGAAATGTGAAGTCCAGAAATTCCTTCCTTGTAGCTCCTGGTCTTAGTCAAAGTGACTTAGTGGCTTAGGCTAGAGTGGGGAGCTTCGTTTTTTTACTAAAATGTTTTTGAACAGCACAAGTTTGAGAGCTTGTAATGTTCGGGGAAGAAAACAAAAATATATGTTTAAAAAAGTAGTAGATTCTCAAAGATTATTGGTTATTGGAACACTTTACACCTGAACACATAGCCTTGGTTGAAATACAGTTTCCTGGTGACAGTATAACAGGCCCCCAGACCTTAGCACAACTAACTCCATGATGGAAGTGCCATTCAGGCTGTAAAATTCAGCGTGCGGACAGCACCACCTGCCAAAACTAAAACAAAGGCCTAATCCATCAAAGTCCATAGTCCTGGGAACGTCTCTAAATGTACTCACCTTGCTTTTTGGCTTCTGTAGTTTTGCTTCTGGCTAACTGTTCTTGTTAACGGAAGTATGTCAACCCAGAATGTGGTTAATGCTTAAAAGCTCACTTTGAGAAAGGCTCAGTGCTACACTGGGATCCTGAACACCCAGAGTAGTGCCACTGGCTAATAAAGACTTTCTAATGGTCAAACCTGTGTCAGAGCAGTCTCCTCTGGAGAGTACCCTGCAACACTGTAGCCTCTTATCCCTGCAAAACACATGTGCACGCCAACTCCCCTCACCCCGAGCTAATGGCTGCTTCCTCTGTCCTTCCTCCTTCTTCCCTCCCTCCCCTCCGTCCTTTCTTCCTTCCTTTTTTCTCTTCTCTTATTTCCTTGAGTTTTGAAATGAGGACTCACTCAGTCGCCCAGCCTGGCTGGGAACTTGCAATGATTCTCCTGCCTCAGCCTCTCATCTTCTCATGTTCTGGATATAGCTGTATACCAAGAACCATGCTTGGCTCTCCACCCCCTCCTCTTCCATCTTCTCTTCCTCCTTTTAAAGAGACAGGGTCTTCATGGGAATTCCCAGGCTGGCAGGGAATTCCTGGGATCGATCTGTCCCACTTCAGTCTCCTGAGTGGCTGGGGCTGAGGGTGTGCACCCCCCCGATGTGACCGCCAAGATTTCACTTTCTCGCTGTGGCCCTTCAGAGAGAAATCTCCGCGTTATGATGTAACCCGCAGTCTTTTTCACTTTCTCTGACAACAGCACATGCATTACATTAATGAGCACTGCTAATTAATAGCTGCTATACAGGTCCATGCTTATCCGAGTTGAGGCTTGGCTTGTGACAATCAACCTGGCACAAAAGTAGGTTCTCTTGAAGGTGACCTTTGGCAGTTCGCCTTGTAACAGACATCTCATCAGAAGACGATTAGAGGCATTTTATTATAGTCCCAACATCCTCACAAGTGGAAGTGCGAAAACGTGGTTACGATAACCTTGTTCAACACGCTCACCTTATATATGGGGAGCAACCTGAAACTCAGAGAGCTTAAACACTCTAGCCGAGGTCACACAGCACTGCTAGAGTCATACTTGAGTCTCCAGTGGGGCTGGGCAGAAAAGGAATCTTTTGTTCTCTCTACCAGGATGTTTTAAAGTGATTTTTCCTAGTTCAGGGCAAGCAGCCCCGCAGCTCTGTCCCCGAAGGTCTCCTGACTTCCTTGATTCCTCCAGGACTCTTCAGCCGACTGAGGAAACTTGTTTGTCTGGGCCGGGGCCAGGGGTTGCCCCACCTCCTTGGCAGGCTGATGGCAGAAAACAGCTGACTCCGGAGAGCTCGCTCACGTGATCGACGCAATTACTTGTTCTGTTCCTTGTCCTCAAGTCAGAGCGGGTACGTCCAGGGGATTCCAGGTGCACCAGGTAGGAACCCTAATCCTGAATGTCTGCAGCCAGGGCAGCGAGGTGGGAGAGTGAGGGGGGGTGGGGGGCCGCAGGCCGAGGTTGCGGGGGGGAGGGGTGCGGGGGAGGACGGGACGACGACAAGCACTGCCAGACAGACAGACTTGGGACAGACTAGACATTGGGCTTTCTGTGCTGCTTCCCGGGTCTTTAACTCTTTGGGGACGGATCGGTTGGCTCCCAGTTGTCCCACTGGGTCCCCACTGGCCCTTCCCCTGCTTTTGTTCCCCACCTGGAGGACGGCTGCCCTGCCCTTCCTTCCTCTGTTCTTTGGCCTCCTGCCGGGTAACAGACCTTTCCCCTTTTCTCTCTGCTGACTTAGCAGCTGCGCTCGGGCGCTTCGGGGCGTTGGCGGGACAATTAATCAGTGACAGGAAGCGACCTCTAAACAAGTGACCAGTTGCCGTCAGACAAGCCCCTCGACGCTGGTCCCAGGAGTCTCCCAGCTCCCACCTGTGCCTGCCATGGAGCTCCTGAAGGCGCTGCTGCTCCTGTCGGGAGTCCTGGGGGCTCTAGCTGAGCTCTGTGGTGAGTAACCAGCTACTGTCTGGAACCTGTTTCCCCCGGAGTCACAAGAGGGATGGATGGCTGCCTTGTCCAGTCCCCTTCTTAGATATTTGAGGGATCGGAAACTGGGGGTGGGGGAATGAAGAACCTCATCTGTCCCTCAAGTCTCCCACAGCAGTTTAGGTTTAAATGCACCTTAGTGCTTGGGCATGCTGAGCAGACACCTGCTCAGGATCCGAGACAGGATCTCCCCAGCTCATCCAGCAATGTGTTCATTTATGCACTCAGCACGTAGGAGGCCTCCCTGGGGTAGGCCCAGTATTTAGTTTGAAGAAAGAGTCGGGAGCACGCAGGACCACCGAAGAGCTCCTTCACCATCATGAAAACTCTGAGGGCTTGGGATATAGTCCCTTTATTACTCCTGACCTCCTTGTGTCTTGTGAGGTGAGCTGAGGCTGTTCTTCCGGCCTTCCGCCTTGCTTGTAGGGTGAGGACACCACAGTTTCATCATCAGTTAAGGCTCTGTACATAATGAAATGGACAGGACTATGCACTAAAGACTACACAAAGAAGGCTCCCGGGCTTCTGAATCCAGTCAATCCTCCAGTGAGAGGCTGCCCTAGTGCGAGAGTGTGTGTGTCGGGCTGTATTAGGGTTCTTTAGAACAGTGTTTCTCACCTTCCTAATGCTGTGACCCTTTAACACGCTCCTCATGTTGTGTTGACCCCCAACCATAAAATCACTTTGCTGCTACCTCATAACTGTAATTTTGTTAATGTAAATATTTTTGGAGATAGAAGTTTGCTAAAGAAGTCATGACCCACAGGTTGAGAACCACTTCTCTGGAGGCACAGAACCGATAGCATGAGTTTGTGTTTTGAAAGACTGGCTTACAGGGGATAGTCATGGAAGTACAGCAGTGGCTGCCTCTCGTTGGAAGAAGGGCTGAGAATCCCGGAGCTGTTTATCCTATGGGGCTGGTTATCTCTGCAGACCCAATCTGGTGCTGGAGTCCTGGAGGATTTCCTGGAGAGTTGCTGGTCTTCAGTGTCTGTTGAAATCATAAAGAAGGTAGACTTAATACCAGCCGCAACAATAGGGTAAAAGAACTTGCGAGTGAGAGTGAGGGCAAGCAGGAAAAAAAGGGAAAGTTTCCTCCTTTCTCTTATCTGGGCTGCCACCAGAAGGTTTGGCTCTGATTTTGAGTGTATTTTCTTGCTTTGAATTGTAATCTCAATAAGAAAACTCTGCATAGGTGTGGCCAGCAGTTTGGGTTCTAATTGACTCCAGATGCAATCAGGTTGACAAGCAAGATTAGCCATCATGGGGGCCTTGCTTGGGGCCACTTTTATTGGCTTGAGTGAATCTGCCTAGCTCCTTCCTTCTAAAGATGATAAATTATGGTTACCAGACTCCTGTTAGAGGCAGCAGCTGGCTCAGGACGGCGGTCAGAACCTTGGGTGGGGTGTCTGGGCTCCCTTACTAATTTCAAGGAAGTGTGGAAGAGCAGAGTTCTAGAGCTGAGATGTAGCTCAGTTGGTAGAGTGCCTGCCTACCACAAATGAAGCCCTGGGCTCAATGTCCAGCATTGTGTCATCCAGGTGTGGTGGCATGCCCCTGTCACCCCAGCATGTGGGGAGTAGAGAGGCAGGAGGATCAGGAGTTCAAGGTCATTCCCAACAACATACTGGGTTTGAGGCCAGCCTGCAATACTGCTTTAATATTTTTTTAAAAAGTATTTTAAAAAATTATTTAACCCTGCTTAAATAATTAAAAAAAAAAAAAGTTCTACAGAGACAGTCAGAAAGATAGAGCACCAGAGCAGAGGACCTCAGAGATACTGATAGAACTCTGGAAAAATAGAGACAGATCCCCCAAAAGTAAGTCTTCCCTCTTTCCATCAGGGCCTCACTGTGATGTATTTCAGGCCTTGGCCTCCTGGGTGCTGAGGTTTTTAGGCCTGTGTCACCATGTCCAGCTTGTGCCTGACTGTCAGAAGCAACATTTCGTGAGGAGCCAGCCAGGTGCCTTGGCCTGGTCCACAAGGCAAACAGTCATTTAGAGTTTGTAGTAGGGAATGGCCCCCTACATCTGTAGATACCTATGACTTCTGGAAAAACAGGTTAGAAAGAGGGGGCTATGGTCAAGGGGCCCTGGTCCTCAGGCACGGAAACCCAAGAAAGCAACAAAGGGCTCCAGGGCAGGCCTTTCCCCCACCCTGCAATGTTGGAATATAAGCCCATTGGTCAGCTGGAGTGGATGGTGACTGGGAGTCAGTAAAAGGGGCAGAAAGTACACAGTGCCTTCAAGACTTTGCTCCATTATGTGTGGACCCTTCTCAAGGAAGGAAGTCAGCCATCAGCTGGAATTGGGGCATATCCCTGAGATTTCTGTGTGTTGCTTACATATCTTCAGGTAAATCCCAGGTCGTGACAGGCTGTCAGAAGCTGGTCTCCCAGTGTCAGACTCTTTTCACTGTCTTTTAAGGCTTGTGTGGCGGAATTTCCTCGGGTAGCTGGGGGAATCAGTTGGCAGCCTACAGCGTGTGGACTTCGATGTGGAACATTCACTGCTTGGAGGCTGGACCTTTGACCAATATGTAGCACACACATTCATGAGGGTGCCAAAGAGCAAGGGAAGGGGATTGCAGTCTGACCTAGTCTTGGGTCTGCAGCATCACATACTACACAGCCCGACTTTGAGCTTCTGACTCCTCTTCTATGCAAAACGATGATGAAGATATTTATACCACAGGGGCTGGTGTGAGGGTCAAAGGAGATGGGTGCTTGGGCTTGCTGCTGGGCTTGGCCTGCAGTCACTCCTGACAGGTGGGTGGTTGCCTGGCAGCAGCACCCTTTGATCTCTGCCCATCATCTCTCCTTGACCCATTCATCCCTCCTAGGAGATGCCAGCTTTCCTTTTTACCCGCTGCCTTTCCCCACACAGGTGGGATGTAGGCCACGTGGTAACAGGAATAGAAAAGGTTTTGTCTGGTAAAGCGGTAAGAATAGTTGTTTGCTAGAGAATAGCCTAGAGACCTCTCTCATACCATTTTCTTTCCTCAGTAATACCACAGATGGACAGCCAGCTGGTAGAGAGGCTGGGCCAGCGACTCTTACTTTGGATGGATCGGCTCTCCCTGGAACAACTGAATCCCAGCATCTATGTTGGCCTGCGCCTTTCCAGCATGCAGGCTGGGACCAAGGAGGACCTCTACCTGCACAGCCTTAAGCTCACTTACCAGCAGTGCCTCCTGGGGTATTGCCACTCTCCAGTCTTTACCTATGACTTGATCAGTGTTATAAGACATAGGAGACTGGGTTCTAATTGGGGTATTTATGGCTTTTCGACAAACTAGGCGTATTTTGTCTTTTCTGGGCTTTTCTCCATCTTCAGAGTGAAGGAGTAAGTGGCACTAGGTCAGAGATGCATTTTTGTCCTGAAACTGCATCCCCCTGATTCCTGAAGCAGCACCTAATTCTTACTGTGCTCCCCACCTTTGTCTGAGGCAGATGTCACTAATCCATGAGCCCCCAAGCAACACCTGACTCTTTCTGTGCACCCCGACCTATACCTAAGGCAGACATCACTAATCTATAACCAAACATATGGTTGTATATTGATACAAAAAGCGGTGTCTAATGATTTCTATCATTTACTCTTGGACTGAAGACAGACACTGCTAATTTTTCTTTCGTGCAGAGTCTGGAAGTAGCATATTTCTGTGCTTTTCCTCCAAAGAGTGGCCATTAAAGAGAGGCCTGCTCTGGAGTTTGAATGAGAGGTGAATAAGAAAACAAAAACAAAAAAACCCCACATCACTCATTAGATGTAATAGCACACACCTTTAATCCCAGCACTTGTGAGGCAGAGACAAGCATTGCTCTGTAAGTTCGAGGCCAGTCTAGTCTGCAGAGCGAGCTCCAGGACACCCAGGGCTACACAGAAAAAAACTGTCTCAAAAAAACAAACAAAAAAAAGGGAGGGAAAAGCCATGAAGTACCTTCTGGATTCCATTCCTTCTCAAGAATGAAGGGAAGGGAGAGGAAATAAAGGAGAGAGTGCATGGTTTGACTGGGGGTCAAAGCAGGTGATCTGGATGCAGGCACCCTTATGCTTTAGCCCTGACTTTAACCTTTCTTCTTTTTAACTATCCGTGGGATACATCTCATACCAGGCCAGATGACAGCTAATTCCACTTTGTGACCTTAGTGTGATTCAAGCCAGACTTATGAAGGTTTTCTCATGAAGGTGCTGAGAAAACCTTGCCTCGTCCTAGGTCCACCTCCAGCGATGATCACAGTAACTGCCAGACCAAGCCTTCTGGGGGCGACCTGGCCCTCTACCTGCTTGCTCTCAGGGCCAACTGTGAGTTCATTGGGAGCCGAAAGGGTGACAGGCTGGTCTCACAGCTCAAGTGGTTCCTGGAGGATGAGAAGAAGGCCATTGGTAAGGAGAACAACATTTGAATGGGCAGGGAACATCTGTGAGACTCATCAAAAGGTTTTGTGGTTTGGAGTTTTGAAGCAGGCCTCAGATTCATAACTGTTCTCATTAGGTGAGGTTCTTGGTGGGAATCAGAACTTTGGGCTTTCTGGGCTTCTTCCAACTCTCTCTTTTGCCCACATCAAGTCTACCTAGATGCTCAGGTCAAACCCAGTTGCCATGCTTGGCCAAGCCTTTCCCCATACCATAAAAGGTGCTTTACAAAGGTGTTGGGATGCTCAGCCACCAAGACTGACTGGTTATCCACCTCTGGGACTTGCACAGCCTCCTTTCCACTTATTCCCTAGCCTCTCTGACAACTTCCCAGCCTCCTGACTTGGACCCAGTGCTCAACGGCTGAAGCAAGGCTTTTCAATATCAACCTGTTCTTCAGGCAGCTTAAACCCTGCAGGGCCCCTCACCGTCCCATTCATAACTCTCAGGCCCAGCCTGGCTTGTCTCTTACGTTCTCTAGGCATTGTTCTGTTTGCTTCTCTGTGAGCTCCAGCTACATTGGCCTTCCCAAACAAGTCGGGGTATTTGTATGTGCCACATAGAGCTACTTCTGTGAAGAATCCTGTCTCAACTTCCCAGCTATTTAAAGACTTGTGTTATGTGGCTATAGGGACCTTCAGGCCACATTTCTGTTACAATTATGCTATCCCGTGGGCTTATGTTGAGTTGTCATCTACTCTGACCTGCAAAGACAGAACCTGGCATAATCTCTGGGAACTCATCTAGACACTGAAGGAGTAGGATGCCATGGTCTCCACGTAATGTGTTGAAGCATGCAGACCATCGTTCCCATGAGCTCTGGGGCTTCTTGCAGGGAACAGACTGGAAGAGAAGCCCTCAAGCCTGACATATCTCTTTACTCCTTGCCTTTCTAATCCCAGGGCACGATCATGAAGGCCAGCTCCGCACCAGCTTTTACCAGTACAGCCTCGGCATCCTTGCGCTGTGTGTCCACCAGAAGCGGGTCCACGACAGCGTGGTGGGCAAGCTCCTGTACGCCATTGAACACAGCTACCGTACCTCCCAGGGCTACCTCTCTGTGGGTGAGTGGACAAAGCCTAGGCTGCCTCGAGCCCCAGGAGAAGGCCTTCTATGACCCACCCCTATGCTCACCTTTTTTTGAAACATCTCCTCGTCAGATCCCAATTGAGATGGGGGCTGTGAACCAGCTTTGAAACTGGGCTTGGATCCTGACCCCAGCTCCATCAAATGTTCACTGTAGTCCAAGTCCCCCGCCCCCATCAGCTGTCAGTCACAGATTTCCTATAAAATGACCTCCCAGCAGCATCTCAATAAAAGGTGCTTTATAAACAGAGTACCCAGCACACCTGGGTGCTGTGGCCACCATACAACCTGAAGATACTTATCTGGTTCCTCACTGTATGACCTTAGGCCACCGAATCCCCTTTTTAATCATCGTGATTCAAGGTCTCTGCCAGGGGCTTCTGTGAGTGGATGAGTAGGGCCTCTTGTAGGGTGGGCAGAATGCAGCAGGGGTGGTGGGGTGGAGGGGGGGTTGGTAGATGTTGCCCAGAGAGACCTTTGTCAATAAGGGACTTGTCTCAGAGGCTTTTAGAGAAACACAGTAGACACATTATAGCTACCTTTAGGGAGAAGACTTAAAAATTCCCAGGCCCTGGCAGCTTTCCTAGCAATTAAATCAGACTGCCTGAAAGCTAATAAGGCCACCATTAGGGTCAGACTCTCTGAGGGGCTAGAGATATAGTCCAGTGGCACAGTACTTAGCCTGGGACCCTAAATTCAATACTCAACACCGCAAAAACAATATGAATTAGTTAATCAATAAAATAAAGCCCCCTCTATGGTCCCAGTATGCACCTGGTTTGGGAGCAGGTGCTGTAGGATCTGTCCCCTTGGGACCCTCTTCTTCAGTCTGTCCGTCAGACCTGTTGCTCTCAAGGTACTCAGTGACCCAGCAAATCAGTTTGTCTAGGTCTGAGAGGTTCTCTGGGCCTAGTGTATCCAGTGTTGGGACCCAGAGAGTCCTGGACAAATTGCTCGGATTGGTACCCTAGATGATCCTGAGTCCCCAAACCCACTTAACGGGTCCTATCAGGCTATCATTCATACTAGATCTATTCCCTAGACACTGAAGCCATGGCTGGCTTGGCCTTCACCTGTTTGGATCGCTTCAATTTCAACCCTGATCTGAGACCACGAATCACCATGGCCATTGAGACAGTTCGAGAGAAGATCCTGAAGGCCCAGACCTCTGAGGGCAACTTTGGAAATGTTTATAGCACCCCGCTGGCACTACAGGTGGGAAAGCGATCCTATGAGCACTCAGCAGGTCTGTGAAGGGTGGGCTGGTGTGGGGCTGGAAGACCTGGCTCCATCCCACTGACTGACCTACCTCTTCCTTCTCTTCCCCACAGTTTCTGATGGTCTCCCCTGCACATGGGGCAGAGCTGGGCACAGCATGCCTCAAGGCAAGGGCATCTCTGCTGGCCAGCCTCCATGGTGGGGCCTTCCAGAACCCAATGATGATTTCCCAGCTGCTTCCTGTCCTGAACCACAAGACCTACCTGGATCTTATCTCTCCAGACTGCCAGGCGCCCAGGGGTAGCCGAACCTTTCTGTTTCCCCGAGTGATTTGATGTCTGTGGGTCCCAGTGATGGGGGAATCAGTTGGTTTTGCTTTGCTTAGCCAGCATGAGTGTGTGGGTCTGAATAGGGCACCACAGCTAAAACATGGTCAAAGCCTTTTGATGCTCATAGTGTAGACACAGGTACAAAAAAAAAATGGACGGAGTAGTTTATTAGTCAAGGTCCTCTAAAGGAGCAGAACTGATAGGTTGGGCCAGATGGCCCAACAGCGGAGCGGCTCTGTCCCTCTGGAGAGGTGCGGAATCCCAGAGGTTCAGTCTGTGAAGCTGGATGTCTCCGCAGTCCCAGCATGGTGCAGAAGGCCTGAAGGATTCTGGAGAACTGCTAGCCTTTCGTCTCCACTGGAGTCTGAAGAAGTTAGTTTTAATATCAGCAAAGGAGTACTGTAACAATAGGACAGATGAAGCTGGGAGTGAGGGTGAGGGCAAGCAGCTGAAAACCAGGTTCCTCCTGCCACGTCCTTTTGTCTGGGCTGCCACCAGAAGGCGCTGCCTACGCCTGCAGAAGGCCTTCCCTGCTTTGAATAATATGATCAAGAACCCTCCACCATAGGAAGGCCCCAGAGACTTACATTTTAGTTGACTCTAGAGCCAACTATCACAGATGAGTGAATGAATAAATGAGTAGAGAGACACATATTTGGTTTAATTTTGATACTTAAGGAGCCTTAATTCGCAGCATTGAATCATTTGGGCAGCACTTTGGTGAGAAACTTAAAAGTAGTGAATGGGGTGTTCCAGAAAAGTGGCACGAATGGGCAAAGGAGCAGAGAAGGCAAAACCAAAGGCACAGAGACCAGTAATGCGGGGGAGAGGGGTACCATCTTGGAAAAGAGTGCATCTGGGAGAGTGAACAGGGGCATTAGACAGATACATAGGAAGAAGATGAGTCTGCTAGAGGTGACCAGGAAGTGATGTGAACAAATGAGGTGCAGTGTGGCAGAGAGGAGGGAGGCAAAAAGCAAGAGACACCAGCCAGGGGCTCAGAATTGGGCTGTGGAAGAATATGGAGGCTGAAGGCCAGGGGGATGGGAAAAGAGCCAGGTTTCAGCTGAGCAGGTGTGCACGGCACTTACTGAGCCAGGAGGGCAGGCCATGGGCCACATGGGTGTCCACGGGAAGAAAGGAGGACACATAGCCACGCTCCCTTTCCTAATGACAGCTGCTTCCTCCTTCCTCCCTGGCCCAGTCATGTTGGTTCCAGCTGTTGAGGACCCTGCATCAGTCTACACCCCAGAGGTCATCAGTGTCACGCTGGAGGTCTCCAGTGTCCTGCCACGATACAAACATACATTTTTTGTCCTTGCTGGGTCCACCTTGGAAGATGTCCTGAAGATGGCTCAAGACGTAGGAAGATTCACGTGAGACTCCCCATCCCACTCTCTGGCTCTCACTCCTCTCAGCCCTCTGTGCTTGAAATGGTATCAGGGGAAAAGTGGGGAACAGAAGAGTTTCTTGGGAGAAGTTCTGGCTTAACTTCTGCTTCTGCCTTCTACACTTCCTTTTGGCCTGTGTTTTGGACCTGTGGTGTTTGGCCTGTAGTATGAACCGCCACTGTCATCAAGGGAGCTGGCTCTAGAATCAGAGACCCAGACTTGGAATCCCAGTTCCTCTGCCCCACCCCCCAGAAGTGAGCGGGACAGTTATTTAGTGAGGGCATGAAGTATTCTTCTTCCTAATAGGGCTGCAGTGAGGAGCCCATGGTCATTGGTAGACATTCTTTGAGTAGGTCTAATGCCTGGTACACAGTGAGAGCTCTGGGAAGAGTAATAATATCTAATAACCTTGATAAAATATTGCCATTAATAACCCTGAGAAGGGCTGGAGAGATGGCTTAGAGGGTAAGAGCACTGGCTGCTCTTCCAAAGGTCCTGAGTTCAATTCCCAGGAATCACATGGTTGGCTCCCAACCACCTCCTCTGGCATGCATTCAGAACAATGTATGCATGATAAATAAATCTAAAAAAAAAAAATAACCCTGAGAAGGTAGACAATGTACTTGTCCCTTGAGGTTTTACAAGCCTGAGAAAGAGCACATCTTCTTTGCTTCTCCTTGCTGGGCCCTGGCCATACCTGGAGGTGGACATGCTCCGTCAGGGGCTCAGAGCAATCGAATCCTTATTACCAGCTGCTCTGTCCCTTGGATTCTTGCCTCATCTCAAGAAATCCCTGCTTTCTGCTCCCATCAGAGTTCTAGGAAGTGCTGTCAGTGGGGACTGTTTGGTCCTTTGGGCTGGGAACTCTTAGACCAGAGATGTGTTAACACCACTGTATTTTTTGTTTGTTTTGTTTTTTGTTTTTTGAGACAGGGCTTCTCTGTATAGCCCTGGCTGTCCTGGAACTCGCTCTGTAGATCAGGCTGGCCTCCAACCCACAGAGACCCACCTGTTTTTGCCTCCCCAATGCTGAGATTAAAAGTGTGTGCCCAGCAATACCACTGTCTTTTTTTTTAAGATTATTTATTATGTATACAATTTTCTCTCTATATATACACCTGCATGCCAGAAGAAGGCACCAGATCTCATTATAGATGGTTGTGAGCCACCATGTGGTTGCTGGGAATTGAACTCAATCTCTGGAAGAGCAGCTAGTGCTCTTAACCTCTGAGCTATCTCTCCAGCCCCAATACCACTGTCTTGAAGGGACAAAAATACTCCCACTTCCGGGTTAAGTGACATATCTCCCAGGGAAGGTTGAATCTAGAGCCTCTTACAGACTAAACACAAGCTGTACTATGGAAGCCATCAGAGTTTTACTTTTTATTTGGAAACAAGATCTGCATTAGTCACTTGTCTTATTGCTGTGACAAAGGACCTTAAAAAAGCAAGTTGAGAGGAGAAGGGCTGTTTTGGGCTCATAGTTCCTGGGAAACAGTTCATTATGGTAGAACGGTGTGGCAGCAGGTGACAATGTCCTGTTCAGTTGGGAAAGCACAGTGATGAACGCAGCTGTTCTAAGTCTGCTCTCCTTTCTGCTCAGTGCATGCCCCGGTCCATGCAACAGGACCACCAGAATTTGGAGTGGGTCTTTCTTCAATTAAGATAATCTACAAAATCCTCTGCAAACATGCCTAGAAATCTGTGTCCATGGTGACTCTAAATCCCTGTAAGCTGACAGTCAGGATTAATCATCATGTGTCTCAGAGTTTCCAGGCTGGCCTTGAACTTTCAGTCCTGCTATGGCACCAGGCCTGTCCTAAGTCAGTTCCATAAGGTTACTTAGAGGCACTAATGAGTTTGCTCAGTGTAAAGTCCTTCCTTTCCTTTCCCCTCCCTCCCTCCCTTCCTTCCTTCCTTCCTTTCTTTCTTCCTTCCTTCCTTCCTTCCTTCCTTCCTTCCTTCCTTCCTTCCTTCCTTCCTTCCTTCCTTCCTCTGCCTCCCTAGTTCTGGATGACCTCAATTTTTTTTTTTTTTGTGTGTGTGTGTGTGTGTGTTTCCTTCTGAGACAGTTTTCCTGTGTAGCCTTGACTATCCTGGACTCCCTTTTGTAGACCAGGCTGGCCTCAAACACACAGAGATCCACCTGCCTCTTCCTCCCTGACTGCTAGGATTACAGGCGTGGACCACCATGCCTGGCTGAGGCACAGGATTTCACAGCAGACAAACAGATGTGCAGAGAAGTGGCCCAGAGCAGCCGTGTAGGGCCTCAGAGTTAAGACCATTGAAAAGGGCTGTTCACGTCCGGCAGTGGTGGTGAATGCCTTTAAGCCCAGCGCTCAGAGGCAGAGGCAGGTGGATCTCTGTGAGTTTGAGGCCAGCCTGATGTACAGAGTAAATTCCAGGACAATCAGGGCTACACAGAGAAACTCTGTCTCAAAAAAAAAAAAAAAAAAAAAAACAAAGAGCGAGTGTGTGTGAGAGAGGGAAAAGAAAGAAAAAGAAAGGGTTGTTCATGGGTTCATGGGGCTGAATTAAAAACAAGAAAGAAAGGAAAATAAAAGAGGGGCTAGAGAGATGGAGAGATGGTTCAGAGGTTAAGAGCACTGGCTGCTCTTCTAGAGGTCCTGAGTTCAATTCCCAGAAACCACATGATGGCTCATAACCATCTATAAAGAGATCTGTGCCCTCTTCTGGCCTGTGGGCAGAACACTGTACAAATAATAAATAAATAAATTTTTACAGCAAAGAAAAAGAAAAGGGAAAGGGCTGTTCCTGGGCTGGATGACAGTGAAAAACTGTACTGTTCTTACAAAATCCAAGTTCAGTCCCCAGCATCCACACAGCAGGGCTCACAGCTGCCTGTGTCTCCAGACCCAGGGGATCCAAGGCCCTCCTCTGACCTCCACGGATGCCTACATTTATGTGTGTACACACACACACAATTTTTAAAACATGAAAAGGGCTGTTCTACGCCATTCCCTAGACAATCCATTTCTACCAAGTCTGCTGTGTCTACAATTCACAAATTTAGCCAACTTGTATCCATCTGTGCCGAACACAGACTTTTCTTTGTCAGTGCGTCACAACAACCATTTCAATAGCATTTACGATGTATTAATATTATAAGTGACCTAGTGGTGGCATAAAGTATGCAGGAAGATGCACACAGGTGTTTGCGTGAATACCTCCCCCCCCCCCAGTATATATGGCAGACTTGCACATTCTTGGATTTTAGTGTTTGTCTGGGGCTTTGAACCAATCCTCTGAAGATATGAGAAGGTGACTGTACTTCCTCTTTGTCTAAATCGCCAAGGCGGGTTTCTGGTTTTTGTGTTACTTGTGGTCCTGTAGGTTGAACTTAGTCCCTTATACATGGTGACAGCTGTCGACTACCAAGCCATGCCCTGAGCCCCCTCTTTCTCACCTTTAAATGTTTTCCGTTTGATATTGCTTAGTATGATCAACCATCTAGTCCTTTTGCCTCCACTTCCCAAGTGCCGAGATGAGGGGTTGTGCTTCCACAGTCAGTTTATAAAGTGATGGGGAGCAAACCAAGGGTTAGGTGCGGAGGGTGGCAGGGATGTGGGTGTTACCCACAGTCAATCATCAATCAAGACAATGCCCCAAAGACACGTCCGTTGGCCAATCTGATGGAGACAGCCTCTCAATTTCCTCTTTCCAGGTGTCACTAGTTTGCTTTAGGTTGATCAGCAGCACAGAGGGCTAGGAGAATGCCGGCCCTGGGGGAGCAGGTCTCTGCTGGTGTGGGTGAGCCCCGATTTCCTCTTTGGATACAGCAGCTGCTTCCTCTCTTTTTGTTTCTATTTTCTAGGTATGGGACACAGGCCTCCTTGTCAGGCCCCTACCTGACATCTGTTCTGGGGAAAGAAGTTGGGGAGCGAGAATTCTGGCAGATTCTTCGAGCCCCTGACACCCCACTGCTGCAAGGTGAGTCTGTGGCCTGTCGCCCTGGATGTGCCTCCTACCCAAGTCCTGACCAAGCAAGGCTGCATCAGCCCTAGCCCAGGCTTTCCCTTGATGCTTCCTGGGCCACAGCCTCAGAAAACCACTCACGCTCAAAGCCGAATCCAAAATATTTCACTGAATTCTTAAAACTTTTATGGAAGTCTTGGAGAGTTCAAGAAACAGAAAAGAATGAAATCCTACATTTCACTACCTGGAAGTTTAAGTTCTAAATTTAAATTGAGATTTTTTTAAAAATTATTTTTAATTATGTATGTTATGTGTGCATCTGTGGGGGTGGGGTTGTGCACATGAGTGCAGTACTCAAGGAGGCCAGCAGAGGGGTGGATCCCTGGTGGCTGTGAGCTGCCATGTGAGTCCTGGGAACTAAACTCAGGTTCTCTGGAAGAGGGGGCAGTGCTCATAACTGCAGAGCCCTTTCTCCAGCCCAAGTCTTTTTAATTTTTGATACATTTTCTTATATCTACAAGAAATATGTACAATGCTTGTTTTCATTTAAAAATGGAATCCTATTTTGTCAACACTGTCCAACAGATATAAAATGTCAGATGTGTAAATTTTTTCTAGTTGATAAACTAGCATTACATGATATATCTTATTTAGCCCATATATCTCATATATTATCACTCCAGGATGTAAAATCCTAATGTAAAATCACTTACATGCTTTCTTTTCTTTTCTTTTTTAATTAAATTAATGCTTTGAGCACACAGCCTAGGCTGGCATGTCTCAGCCTCCTGAGATTTCTGGTGTGTTCCCACCATCCTGGCTTTGAAGGATTCCCTTCTTTTGTTTGTTTACTTGATATTTTTCAAGACAGGGTTTCTCTGTGTAACCTTGGCCGTTCTGGACTCACTTTGTAGACCAGGCTGGCCTTGAACTCACAGGGATCCACCTGTCTCTCCCTCCCCGAGTGCTGGGATCAAAGGCGTGTGCCACCACACCATGGAAGGCTCTGCTTCTTCACTTAATCACCTCCAGTCACCTGACGCCATCACTGTTGGGTTAGGTTTGAGCATTCGGACTTTGAGGGTCAGGGACATTCATACCAAAGCATGCTTGTTTAAAAGGAATTCGTTCTTGGTGTTACATGCCTCAGGAGACTGGGGTGGGAGGATCGCTATGAGTTTGATGATAGCCTGGTCTATATAGCTGGACGCTGACTCAACCACTGTCCCTACCAAATAAAAATGACTCAGCAAATGGAGCTGTCCCTGGGCACCTGGGTTCTCAAGGAAGCTTTCTAATTCTTCCAAGTTTGTTGGTTGGAGCTAAGAATGAACGAGGGTCTCAGGTCTGTCAGGCAGTCCATCTTCCACTGAGCCACACCTGGCCAGGATGCTGTTTTTATTATTTTCCCCTTTCTCCAATGGAGGATGTGCTGTTCATCATGCTAGTGAGTGACAGAGCTGGGACTTGAAAACAAGTATCCTCCTGGGCTGAAGGGTCACTGTGGGACACTCAATCATGACATTCTCTGGACCACACTGAGCCACTTTCTTTGCCTGACAACTCCATTTTGGAGGGGTTGACCTTGCAAGCAGGCACTGCCCTGTTTTCTTGCACTGTTATCCAGCTGTTAGTTCATGTCTACCCACCGGGTGGGGGGGGCACCCTCTCTGCTATCTGAGCCTGTGGCCTGAGGGATCCAGCCCAAGCTGTTTCTGAGTGTCCAGCTGGCTCTGGACAGCTCCCCGCTTCCCACCCCCAAACCCTGAGTGGGTTTTACAGATGTGGCCTCTGGGTAGTGGTCACATGACACACTTGGGGGTGGGATATTGCCTTGCTAACCCCGTTTGCTTCATTTCTTTCTGCAGGCATTGCTGACTACAAACCAGCCGATGGGGAAACCATTATGTTTCAACTAGTTAGATGGTAGCCCCGGGGATGTCCTTGGACCCGGCTGCCACCTCAAATGCATCGTCCCCCAGATCACCTCAGCTGTCTCCACAGAGAGGACCCTAAGCTACAGCCCACCTGAGAGCAGGAAGTAAAAAAAAACAAACCAAAACCAAACCTCTCCTAGGGAGGCTGCTAGTCTGAGTCTGGCTCTGCCTGACTCCACAGGCCTTTTGTGAAGGCTGCCCTATGATCTGAAGAACCAGCTGCCCTTGACCTCTGCGTAAGGAAGTCTGGCTGTGGGTGTTGTGAATATGGCTGCTCTGGGACTTGGGTCCTGCAAGAAGGACCTCCATGGCCCAGGGACTGTGGCTCTGACCCCACACCCACACCCCCCATTATCAGGGTGCTGGTCCCAGAGCTGGGCATGAGGCAGCTGGTGGCCAGGCCTCAGCTGGGCCTTCCAACACAATTAAAGCCCTGATTTCCCTTACATGGCTTCAGTGTCCTGGGGCCTCATGTTCTTTGCGGGGCCGAGGGGTGGGAGGAAGGAGCAGGGATGTCTGGGGAATCTAGCAGGCTTTGGTGAGTGCTCTTCTGCTTATCAGGTGATGAACTGGCACAAACAGCTGACTACACCTTTCTAAATATTGTGTAGAACAGACTGGGGTTGTCAGCATTTTCATCTCTCACTATGAAGATAAGGGAACTAGTGACTCACCCAAGGTCACAGCTGGGCAATGTCAGGCAGGAGACAGATGTTGATCCCGATGAATGTTTGCTGGGGCCTGAGGCTGGAGCTGAGTGGTAGAGCACTTGCCTACCCATACAAAGCCTTGGGTTCTGTTCCCAGAACTGCACGAAACACTATTGGATGGGCTAGGGATTGCTCCATTGTTACAGTGTCTGCCTAGCATGAACAAAGCCCAGAATTTAGCACCATATAAAATCAGGCTTGGGCTGGGCTTGGTCGCGCACACCTTTGATCCCAGCGCTCAAGGAGGCAGAGGCAGGCAGATCTCTGTGAATTTGAGGCCAGCCTGGTCTACAGAGTGAGTCCAGGACAGCCAAGGCTACACAGAAAAACTGGTCTTGAAAAACAAAAACAAAACAACAACAAACCAAATTCAGGCAAGGTGGAGCACACCTGAAATCCCAGTGCTTGGGAGACAGAGCATCCGAAGTTTAAGGTCATCCTCTTCTGCGTAAGGAATTTGAGGCCAGCCTGGAATACAACTCTGCCTCCAGGCGGATGGTGGCTGCGCATGTCTCTAATTCCAGCACTTGGGAGACAGACACAGGTGGGTCTCTGAGTTCGAGGCCAGCATGGTCTACAGAGCAAGTTCAAGGACAGCCAGGGCTAAATTAAAAAACCCTGTTTTGAAAAACCCAAACAACCACCGGCTTCAGTGGCACATGCCTGTAATCCCAGCACTCAGGGAGGCAGAGGCAGGTGGATCTCTGTGAGTTCTGAGGCCAGCCTGGTCTACAAAGTAAGTTCAGGACAACCAAGGCTATACAGAGAAACCCTGTCTCAAAACAAAAACAGGGGGTGGGGGGAGAGGAGGACAGAAAAAAAAAACCAAAACCAAAACCAAAACCAACCTCCCCAAACACAACAAAAAAGGAAACTGCCTCGAAACAAAAAAATGAACCTATATTTGCCCCAACGACTACCCACTAACTGGAAGATGGCAGAGGGCAATCAAAAACTTGAATTTGGGATTTGGGGCTGTCTCATCTACACCCCAGGACTCTGAACCTCTTCTTCTGAATGTAGCCAGTCACAACTGTTGTCACCTCCAATTCAAGCCCCAAGTCCCTCTTACTTTCTGAGCTTATGCCCTCAAGCAGGTGTCTAGTCTGCCACATTCAGGGGGGACCCAGAGAAGCCAGGGGATGAGAAGACAGTCATTTTTGGTGCAGGGTCCCCTTTTCGGGTCTGGGGGGCCAGGCTGTATCATCGAAGACTCGGCAGCTCCTCCCCAGGCCTGGTGGCTGACTCAGAACTCCGGGGTGGTGCTCTGGCTTATGGTGTGTTTGGGACTGTGATCTCCTCCTAGGTCACACTCAGGACGCTAGAGGGCGAGGATAGAAATGCATGATCTGGTCAGGCTTGAAGCCATCCGAGTGTCAGGCTGAGCCTGTCAGCGCTAGGGACAGCTTCTTTCCTCCCCAGCACCCCTCTGCCCTGTTCTCTGCACCACCTGCCCCTCTGACAGCAGAGCTCACATCTGTAGGGCTCCGGTGGGAAGCACAGACTGCGCTGAGATTTTGAGCGGACCCCAGGGAATGTGAAAGAGCCCTCCGGCCCAGCGATGTCCTCCTTGAATCTGGCCTTCCATTCCCCCACATGCAAATTTCCTTCTACTGAGAGCCCTGCTGCCTGTGATGTTGTGACAGGTTAAAATGGGCTTCAGAAGTGGGCAGCGGCACATGCCTGTAGTCTCAGCACTCCCATACAGACACAGGCACAACAAATAATAAGCAGAAAAAAAATTAAATTGGAAGTAAAAATTTTTAATTGAAAGCTTAATGGATAAACGGATTACAAATCCCAGAGGAATATAGCTCACAGGAAGCCCAGAGGCTCCTCTTAAAAAAAAAAAATGTGTGTGTGTGTGTTTGTGTCTGACTCGGTTCCCCCAAAACTCTTCTTGGAAAAATAGTCTGAATGCCCCAGATTTTGGTCCTCCCCTGGAAGTCCCCTATCTACATTCCCTGTCCTTCAGCTTGGGTTACTCAGCGGCGACCTACGGGCTCCCGCAGGATTACACTCATCAAGTGTGACAAGGCAAGCGTGACAACGTAGATTCCTGGTTCATCCGGGACTCCAGTCTCCGGTGGGGCTAGTTTATTTTCACCTGAATTTGATTGCGAAGGGATTTGGGACGCTTGCAGCCGTGCGGGGTCACGACCACCAGGGGGCGCTGCGAGCCGAGCCACACAGTCTGGCTTGGCTTTGCGATCTTTTCTCTCTAGGTAGGTTTGTCAGACAGCGGAGCCCGGCGAGGCCGGTCGAGGTGGGCGGAGGCTTCCCCCAGAAATGCAATTACTGGAAGGAAGCTGGGTTCCAGGATGGGTCTTGATTCTCGCTCACCCGGAGCAAGCGCGGCCTGGAATCGGCCCCTGGAGTGCAGCTGCTTAACCCTATCCTGAATTCGCAGAACATCTATTTTTCGGATGGGAAACCCGAGAACCATCCAAGCTTCTGTCGTGTGGGCCGCAGGGAGTCCAGCTGTGAGTCACCTCGGAGGGGCCAGGGAGCAGAGTCGGCTAGCCCGAGACGGATGCCAACCCGCGGTACCCTGCCTCCCGCAGCTCCGCTTAGCCACGGTGATTCATTTCCCCTTCGGCTTGGCCCAGAGGGGGCGCCGCCCTGGCCTGGGAGGGGAGCAAGATGAGGCAGCCTTGAGGGACCACGTGGTCCGGCTAAGCCGAATCCCAAGGTCTCGGGAGACGCTTGTGGTCCGTCCTCAACGCCCTGCTCCTTGATGACAGACCGCTTCGGGACGGCTCTGCAGGGTACCCGGGGTTCCAGCAGCTGGGGACCACCCGGATTCCCACTGATGGCTGGTGCAGTCCACACTCTCCGCTGAGGGACTCCGCCGGCGGCTGCGCGAGCCGAGCCCGGAGCCGCCAAGGCCGTGGGAGGGGCCAGAGGGCTCCGAGGCGGGGCCTTGCGGGGCGGGCCCCCGGCTGAGCCCAATTTTCCGGGTGGAGGTCAGCTTCGGTAGCGGCGGAGAGGGCGGGGCCGGGAGCTGCGCGGGCGCGGTGGGCGGGACTGGAGCCCCGCGCCCCGAGCTGCCAGATTCACGGCGGGAGCCGGGCGGCAGCCGGAGCAGCGGGAGCAGCCGCCGCCAGGCCGAGCTCGCAGCTCCGCGCCCGCCGGCCTGTCCTCCTCCATTCACGGCGAAGCGAGGCTGGGGGCCCGCCGGCCGCGACCTCCGCTCCCACGCTCGGAGCGCTATCGCCCCTACCCGGCCTGGGCACGGCCTGAGCACCAGACACGCCAGGGGTCGGGGTCAGTCAGTGTCCTCACCCTGACGGTCTGGGGACCGAAGAGGGAAAAAGCCAAGAGGATTCAGTGTGAGAGCATCGCGTGAGCTCGGGGCGCGCGCAGGAGAGAGGAGACTTCCCCTGGCGCGGGAGGTGCCCAGGGCTTACGAGGCCTGGGTGGGCACCAGCCAGTCCGGCATCTCAACAGCCTCGGTTCTGCCCTGACGGAGCCCGATAATCGGCCGGCTCGGGTTTAGCCTTAGAAGCGGTGTCCTCTCCTGTCTGAGGGATCAGGACCTGGCCCAGCGAGTCCCCGGGAAGCCTCCCTCCTAATCCAGCCCCACTGGTGCGGATGTGCCGCTGCCCACTGGAGCGCCATGAAGGCAGGATGACCTCAGCCGAAGCAGTGGCTGTGGCTGGAAGTGCCCGGGAGCATGGCCGCCCCAAGTGGCCTCCTGACAACCCTCAGGTCCTTGGGCAGCCTGCTCGGGCCAGAGTGGTTGTGGCAGCACTGGTGTGGCTGTTGGCAGGAGCCAGTATGTCAAGCCTCAACAAGTGGATCTTCACAGTGCATGGCTTCGGGCGGCCCCTGCTACTTTCAGCACTGCACATGCTGGCAGCTGCCCTGGCGTGCCGCTGGGGGGCCCAGCGACCCATGCCCCGCAGCATCCAACGCAGGGTGCTGCTGCTCAGTCTCACCTTTGGTACCTCCATGGCCTGCGGCAATGTGGGCCTGAGCAGTGTACCCTTGGACCTAGCCCAGCTGGCCACCACCACCACACCACTGTTCACCCTGGCCTTGTCTGCGCTGCTGCTTGGCCGAAGACACCATCCTCTGCAATTTGTTGCCATGGGCCCTCTCTGCCTAGGGGCGGCGTGCAGCCTGGCTGGAGAGCTCCGGGCACCTCCAGCCGGCTGTGGCTTCTTGCTAGTGGCCACCTGTCTCCGAGGCTTCAAGTCCGTTCAGCAGAGTGAGTACTTGGGTCTCCATCGGAGGGGATAAGGTGGGTGGCCTGAATGTTCCCGTGAAGGGGGTGGCAGTGATGATCCCCTTTTGTAGACAAGGCTCAGAAAAGTCAGTGAGTTCAGGGCTCAAACTTAAGCCTTAGAGGCATAGTTAATAACAGTTGTTGAACTGTGTTCTAGAACGTGAGAAGCCTTTTGTCCCACTCAGTCCTCCTGCCTCTCATTGAGGCAGGTACTTTATTATCCCCATTTGACAGATGTGGAGAGTCTCACTTAGGCCTTGTGCCAGTGAACAGCAGAGGCAAGATTTGAATGAGACGTTCAGACACGGTGCTGTCCAAGCTCTGTGTCCTAGTATTATGAACCCAGAAGGCCAGGAAGTGTGAACTAGGGAAGAAAAGGCAAAGTAGTTGGGAACACAGGTGGGTTTTTTGTCTTTTTTTTTTTTTTTCTATACAGGGTTTCTGGGTGTAGCTCTGGCTGTCCTGGATTTGTAGACCAGAATGGCCTTGAACTCATAAAGATCTGCCTGCCTCTGCCTCCCTAGAGCTGGGATTAAAGACGTGAACCACCTTGCCGGTCTGGAAATAGGGGAAGGGTTTACCAGAGGAGAGTTTACCGGGAGCTACAGTGTGGCAATCCTGGTGCTGGGTGTTGACTGTCAGTTGTCACAGTAATTTCCACAGTAACTTCCACCATCCAGGTGGTGGCACAATAAGAGAGCCTTTTACTGGGGGGGGGGGGGGCAGGAGAGGGGAGGCTCTAAGCTCAGGCTCGCCTCAAACTTTTGATCCCCCTGTCTCAGCCTCCCAAATGCTGCTAAAGAGGTTTATGATTGGCCCAGGGTGATGTGGCTCCCAAGGACTCCAAGTCTGCTGTGTGGGACTGGGAGTAGACCTCAGGACTCAGAGCAGAAGTAAGGTAGACTGCCCCACCCAGTTCCAGTGTGCCTGGGAGGGGGGTGGAGGCTGACTTCCTGCCTGAGCAGTGGGGGGCTTTTGAGTCCTACCTACTCCCCCTCCACCGTAACACAAGGAAGAAGTAGGAGGGGGGACAGCAAGGGGTTCCCAGGGGTGCTGAGCTATGGTCAGGACAGCCTGTAGCTGGGAAGTGAAGTGAGGACTCAGCCCTGCCTGGCATCTTCTTCCATCTGGGACCCAAAGGTCCTGTCCCCATCTCCCCGGGCCACCGGTAGGGTGAAAACACAGTTCTATTTTAGCCCTCAGGTTACATGAGCTGAGGCCTGAGTTCAGCCTTGAGTTGGCCCAGGGAAACCTGACCCTGTAAGGGCCCTCCTAGGCAGGCACACCAAGCAGAGAAGGCCCCAGCTTCCAGCCCCACATTGCACCTGCTAGAGCCAAGGAGTCATGCTGGGCTCTGGGCAGCTCCTGTGGTAGGAGGGGCTATGACCAGGCAGACATTAGTGCGCCCAGGCATGTTCACAGTGGCATGTGACTGGCATCCAGCCGCTCCTTGGCTTCTGCCAGCTCGCTTCTTCAGCTTCCTGAGAGGGAAGTTTGAGTGTGTTGGGTGCCCTCTGCTTCACCAGCTGTGGGGCATTCAGAGCTATTGATCACCCCTCTGCCTCCGACCAGACAGGCTGTGTACCGGGACATCTCTGTGTCCTCGCCACCTGGTGTGGTGGGTAAGATCAAATGATGTCTTTAGCTGATGGTTTTCCTATCAATTGTGTCGTTGATAAATTGATAAACTGATAAATTGATAAACTGATAAATCAGTTGATAAACTGATTAGCACCTCGGATTTGGACCATATGCTAAAGAGAGCACTTAGAAAGCTAGAAGTTCCCCTGACAGAAGTGGGGGCCCAGCAGAGAGGGGGGAGAGAACTGGATCCAGGACTTAGAATGGATTTTTTATTTGTTTTTGGTTTTTCAAGACAGGGTTTCTCTGTGTAGTACTGGCTGTCCTGGATTTGTAGGTCAGGCTGGCCCTGAACCCACCCCAGGATTAAAGGTGTGTACCACCACACCCTGCTTTGCAATGGATTTTTAAAAAGAGGAAGTTTCTTTTCACTCAAGGCTTTAGGGCCTGATGCCGACTACAGTGTACTGTGCTGCTCCTTCCTTGAGAGCAAATGCCTTGAGGTCAGGGGGTGGGAGTCCAGAGAGAGAGAGAGCTCAGGCAGCCACAGACAGCCTCTTCCTTCCTACTTGGGCCAGTGGCAGGCCTAGGGGCTCTGCTGAGTGGAACAGTGCCACCCTCATACCCAGAGAGGCAGCTGTATTTAGCAAGAGGGGAGTTGTGGAGCAAGGTGGGCACAGGTGTGGTGGGGGCTCCGTAAGGCCGCTGAGGGGGCTGTACAGCCACAGTGGTGGTGACAGAGCAGAGAAGGGCACCCTTGGGTGGGACCCGGCTGCAGCAGAGCCCTGTCAGCCTCAGTGCTGAGTGTGTACACTGAGTATGTAAGCTCTCCCTCCCCATGCTATCCACCAGGTGACTGTCACACAGCAAGGCAAGGGACAGAGCGGGGACAGGCCAAGAGGCTAGGGTTTACAAACTGCTGTGTGCATGTGGCAGGGGTCAAGCATGTTTAGATGCTGGTATGAAAGTGCCTTTGAAGCAGGCCTGCAACCCCAGGACTCTGGGAGTATCGTGAGTTCAAAGCCAGCTGGGCCTTCAGAGTCAGTCTGTCTGGAAGCAGAAAAATAAAACACCTTTTCAGCCTGGCATGTAATTCCGTCACTTTGAACATCGAGGTGGGAAGGTTGCACGGTTAGTGTAGGCCAGCCTGGGATCTCTAGCATGAGCTCCTTGGAAAGTCCTTGTCTCAAGGCTGGTGAGACTGCTCAGTGGGTAAAAGCAATTGCTGCACAGATCACCAGAGTCAGATCCTCAGACCCCACAGCGGAGGGAGAGAACCAACTCCTGCAAGTTGTCCTGTGACCCTCACATAGTCCACAGACACACACGTATATCACACAAATTGCATGGATGTGATATGCATGTACACACATCATGCTTACACACAATGTAATATTTTTGATGTTAAAGACCCTGTCTCAGTACAGCTCACCCCCCCCCCACACACACACACACATACACATCACTAAATGAAAATGCCTCTGGAGGGGCTGGAGCTGTGTAGCCCAGTGATGCTTTCTTTGGGGAAAGATCTGGGTTGGACCCCTGATACCAGAAGGAAACAGCAACAGAATGTCTTTGGAAACGCAGAGGATGAGGTAGAGGGTTTTGGCAAGGGCGGGGTCACCGAGGAGGCAGGGCAGCAGGCTAACGTTTGGGGAGTCGGTCACTTCTGCCACGGGGATCACTGCTCTCTAGTAGGCTGTGGGGTGGGGAGGGTTGGACAGGATGCAGGACAGATGCAGGGCCTGTCCCTGAGGGTGAAGTCTGCCTGAAGCTAGAACCCTTCCTGTACTGGTGTCTGGAAGGCCCAAGCCGTGGACAGCTCCTCGGGTACTACATTTGGAGCAAATGAGCGGAGGCATTCTGATTACCTGTTCATTTCTACACATGCTTGAGCTAGCGAGACTGTTGCCTAGAGAACCAAGCCCAAACAGCAGAGAGGAATCATACCATTTCCTCTTCTGAGCACTGGCTGTGCATAAGCACTGTGGGGCTCTCTGGAAAGCATGTATCAGGAAACACAGCGATCTAAAATCTAGGCCCAGGATGGCACCGGCATCAATTATTACCTGTCCTCTGCTGAGACTTGGAGAAGGCTCTGGGCTAGTCTCTGCCCTGGGGCACATACTGCCATTTCACCCGGGCTGTGTTGGCCTTTGGTGGTGGCCATGCTTTTTTTGTGACTCAGCCATGCCCATGTGTGGGCAGCAGGATCCCCTCTGTCCTTGAAAACAAAGATTTTCTTTTAATTCTGGATTCATCTTGGCAAGCCCCACTGTTGGTAGTTTAAAAAAAAGAGAGATTATATGCAGATTATCAAGAAGACCCTGTGGTGCACACCTGTAATCCCAGCTTTTGGGGTTGACAGCATAGCAGGAGGACAAGAGGGTGAAGAATTCAAGGCAAGTCTCAGTAACATGGAGAGCTCAAAGCCCCCCTTGGCTGCATGAGAACTTGTGTCAGAAAACAAAAGCAAACAAACAAAAACCCCGATTCTCGATCATAAACAGTGAGTGGCTGCCAAGAGCCAACAATGACTGTGTTGTTAGTTCTTGTCACCCTGTGGTCATAAGTGAATGGGGTGATAACTGCTTTCACTCTTTTTCACTCAAAACTATTTTCTTTTTCAAAACTATTTTCTTAAACGTCGGTTTTCCTTTTTCCTTCCTCCTCCACCTCTGTACGCTCTTCTTCCCTTCCTAGCCCCTTCACCTTTTTGTCCTGGTAAAGCTGGCAGGTGCCATAGCTGGGTCCTCTACTGTCCTGTCCCTGCTTCCTGGCTGGAACTACAGAGATGAGTTTGTTCTTTACATTTTGAGCCACACACAAGACTTTTGTATATGCTCCCTTTGTGAAAATGTCATATTTTACCCAACTCTACGGGGGAGGAGTGGGCACAGTTCGCAAGCCCAGGTGGCCTGGCTCCTCCACCACTTGCTTGCAAGTCATACTTCAGAGCAGGAGCCACTGAGGCTTTTCAGAGTCAGGGCCGGCTTCCGGGAGGCGGGCTCTTGAGGACGGGGCTACATGGGGCTGGGTCAGCGGGTGCTGTCTCTGTAGCAGGTGATGACGGTCACTGTTCCGGTTGCAGGTGCTCTGCTGCAGGAAGCGAGGCTGGACGCCATGACTCTGCTGTATGCCACCTCTCTGCCCAGCCTCTGCCTGCTGGCAGGCGCGGCTCTGGTGCTGGAGGCTGGCACGGCCCCGCCGCTGCCGTCCACTGACCCTCGCCTCTGGGCCTGTGTCCTGCTCAGCTGCTTCTTGTCTGTGGTCTACAACCTTGCCAGCTTCTCCTTGCTGGCACTCACATCCGCCCTCACCGTCCATGTGCTAGGCAACCTCACTGTTGTGGGCAATCTCATCCTGTCCAGGCTCCTGTTTGGCAGCCACCTCAGCGCTCTCAGCTACTTGGGCATCGCACTCACCCTTTCAGGAATGTTTCTTTATCACAACTGTGAGTTTGTGGCCTCCTGGGCTACCCGCCGGGGGTTGTGGAACAGGGACCAGCCTGGCAAAGGTCCCTGAGACCTGGGGGAGCTCATGAGCCATACCTGGACAGCCCCAGCCTGACTCTGAATGGCCATGAGGAACTGAACAGAGAGGTGCTATGTCTGCCAGGCTAGGGAAAGGAGGTGCCCTCTGGAAGGGCTGCCTGGGAGGCTAGGTCAAGGACTTTCAGAGACCCACCTCCTGTCACAACAAAGCCTGCCACTGGATGGTGGGTCCCAAGTCTGCCACATATGCTCGTTAGATGAATCGTGACTAGTCAACTACTATGATGAAGATTGCTGAGCAAACTTAGAAAACCTCAACGTGTTATAATGAAGAGAAAGCCCAGCAGTTGCACAATCCTTCCTGTGGGGCGGGGGAGACCATGAGGGACACCAGAGGAGGCTTCTTCATTCTTGGGCTCCCGTATAGACAGGGTAGTCTGTGCCAACTTCAGGTAGCTGCTGCAGCCTCGCTCTGGTGCTTCCTCCCCCGGATTTGGGTCTTCCATCCTCAAATAAACTATTTTTTTCTTGGACACCTGTGTCATTCCTTGGGGCTATAGCCATGGGAACATAAAAGGGCGTGGTTGGCGACCACGTGGTTCTCCTCAACTCCCTGGTCCTGTGTTGGCCTCCATAACACTGTTCTCTACAGTGCTAATCCTTTGTCCAGCCTCAGGATGGTGGTAGCGGGCCCCGCCTGCCCTACCCTGGCCCGCCTCTGCCATCTTCCAGGCACTCTTCCCTTGGAGAGCTCTTCCTGGAACACATGCTCTGCACTGAGGACAGAAGTAGGGCTATAAGGTTCCATATAGCCTAGGCTGGCTTCAAAGCCACTCTGTACCTGAGGGTGACTTTGAACTCTTGATCTTCCTGCATCTATAACAATGAGTTTATGCAATACTGGAGCTTCAAGCATTGCTGGCAAGCAGCATCCTACCATCTCTAGCCCCTTCCTGAGCGTTGGTTAATGATGCTCAGGGTTACAGTGAGTCCTATGGTGAGACTGAATGAGCCCAGTGGCAAGGAAGGAGGGGGTAACCGGTACCAAATGCCTGTCATCTCAGGTGGCTACTCCCCACCCGACACTCCACCATGGCTGCAGATCCACCTGGAAATGGGTTCCTTTTGAGGCTAGCATTAGAGTAGGCCGGGGGCAAGAGAAGACTGACATATTCATTCACACAGCCATAACTCATAAAGCAGCTCCTGTGCCAGGGCATAGGGAGGGTAGCCTGAGGCTGGGTGGGAGAGGACCAGGTGATAAATGCCAAGGAGCACAGACGGGCACAGGGTTTCCTAGCCTCGGTCTCCACCCAGGCTGGTCTTCTAGAGGGCCTTGCTGAGTCACTGCCACCCACCCCTCTATGACTCAGAGATGCCACTGGCTGGCTCTGTCCCACCCTATGCAGCCTGCCCATCTCTGGATTCCACTCTCAGGCAGGACAGGAGAGGTGCTTTGGGGGGGGGGGGGGGGGCCTTTTAGGGGATCCTTGTTTTCCTTATTAGAGGGGTTCCCCCGTGCCACAGGAGCCTCCCTGGCCAGCCCTCCAGGCTCTTTGGCCTTAGGAGATGCCTGCTGCCCGGTGGTAAAGGGACAGGACGGGTTAGATGGATCTGTGCTTGGATCTTAGGTGTTAGCCCTAAGATTACTTATTACCAGTCACTGAATTTATGCTCCAAGGCCCTCCAAGTTTCCAGCAGGAGCACACAGAGCAGCTGCAGAAAGCTCGGGTCTCACACCTTTCCATTCACAGCAGGATCCTAGGCTAGTCTTACCTGAAAGCTGGATCAGCTCTTCTTCCTCGCCAGACCCAGCTCCCAGACCACTGTCTTCAGCACTGGCATAGGGTATGGTAGGAAGCAGCTATAATAGCCATTGCAAGACCTCCACTGATGACAGATAACAGCCCTATACTGGCTATGTTCTTTTTACACAAGCATTTCACGTGATTTCTACTTAACTAAACCTTTATCTCACACTTGGCCTTAACTTTTGCGGTCTGAGGTACAACAGCAAACTAGACAAGTAACTTTCTTCTTTCTCACGTCACAGACTTGTTCTGACAAGTCTTGACTTTAGCTGTCAGTGTTCAATGCCTTTCTTATTAAGGCGACAGCTTACTCCTTTTCACTTAAAGCGCGCACTTTAAAGCTGCTGTTGGGCATATCCAAAACGAAAAGTTCGCTCTGCTGTTCTTGTTTTGTGGGCTATTATTAAGTAAAATAACAGTTACCTATACACAGCCATGGTGATACCACATCTGATAACCATAAGTAAGATGCCTACTGTGTGACTGTAGGCATCTGTGAAGATACACTGGACAGAGATGACCCAGTGATCTGGGCAAGCAGGAGGAGGATATGACATCACACCAATACATGGAACGGCGCGTGATTGAAAGCGCAGGAATTTATTTTTGGGATTAACCATTTGATACTTGCTAACTCCCCGACAAAAGCAGCTTTTGAGGAAGAAAGGGCTTACTTGGCTCAGGTTTGAAGTTACAGTCTATCATGCCAAGGAAGTCGAGTGCAGGAGCTGAAGCAGCTGGTCCCATCCAATCCACAGGCAGGGATCAGGGAGCGATTACTCCCTGTGCTGGTCTCCCCCTAGGACCCAAGCACAGTGGGCAGATCCTCCCACCTCAGTTAGGCCAGTCAAGACAGAATGCCACAGGCAAACCCAGAGGCCTGCCTGGACAAGGCTAGGCCTTATCAGGTTGACAGCGGAGACTGCCCTTCCCAAAGACCCGTATCAGAAATAGTGGAAAGCGAACATGGGGACAGGGTTATGCTACTGCAGTAGTGAAAAGCAGGAGAACTGGGGGCAGAACCTGATTTTGAGTCCTGCCTCTGGCATGCTGTGACCTGGAGCAAGAGCCCTCTGTTCCCATGCCTCTGAGCTGTAAATGGGGCAGCAGTGAAACCTGACTCCCTATAGCTCCAAGGGAGCAGCTTGGGAGGCACAAGTGTCACATATTCACAGATGCCAGTGAGCTGAGTTCCTCCCCTGGGCAACTTGGTCTTCTCTCCACTGTTCCTGTGCCCCAGGGCATGATCCTGCCTGGAGCATGCTCCTGCTGGACAGAACAAGGGCCCCCAGGCTCCTTGCCAGGTCTTGGGGCAGCCAGGAAGCGGAAGCTGTGCTTGGGCATCCTGCCATTGTGGACTGCAGGCAAAGCCTTGTCTCGGCCTTAGCTACCAGGGCTCCCCTCCCACCCTGCCCTGGTACCCTTGGCTTGTCATTCTAGAAGGCCAGGGCAAACAAGGACTCCTTTTTTCAGGGCTAGGGATTGTTAGGCGAGCTCTCACTCGAGTTCTAGAAGACTTCCTTGGGACTGGGGATATGGCTCCATTAGTAGAATGCACAAAATACTAGCCTAGGTTCAACCCGCCAGTAGCTCAAGCCTTCAGGAGGTTTAGAAATTCAGTCATCTTCAGCTACGCTGTGATTCTGAGGCTAGCCTAGGCTACACGGGGACAAAACCTAAACCAAACCGACAGTAACAGCAAAACAAAACAAAGGACTCTTCTTGCTCTGTTTTCTCCCCCCAGGAAACTCTACAGGTGAACCCTTACACCCACTGAGCCATCGGGCCCAGACCACTCCTTTGTTGAGAAATCAGACCTTCAGGTTAAGCCTCCATGAAGGAAATTCTGGAGGAGCTGAACCAGAAGGCACAGGGCTAAGAAGACAATGGTGAAAGAGCTATGGGCACAATGGATTGTTTAAAAAGTCTCTAAGTTTGTGTGGTGACTCACACCTTTAATCCCAGCTCTGGGGAGGTGGGCAGGTGGATCTTTGAGTTGGAGAACATCCTGGTCTACAGAGGGAGTTCTGGGACTACTAGGGCTATACAGAGAAAGCCTGTATTGAAAAAACAAAACAAAACAAAAAATCTGCAAATTCAGTATTTCGAACCAGCCTTTGCACTAGGCCTTACTGTGACGTTACAAATAAAACTGCTAAAGTTCCAACTGTCAGACAGATACTAAGTGTTTGTTTGCTTTTTCCAGACAGGGTTTCCTAAGTGACTATCTTAATAGAAACCAAGGAAGGAAGGAAGGATGGCCCACGTTCCCAAACAGGCAACTGTAACTGGTATGGCAAGGAGGTTGCCTGTGCTTTAATCCTTACCAAATCGTAACCTGAAGTAACCTGATGTGTCCCTCTCCCTGGCAGGCCACATAGGCCAGTAATTCCAGCACTCTGGAGGCCAGAAAGGATTGCTAATCCTGGTCTCATGTCCTCACCTCTCTCCACACACTCCCTCACCCTCTTACTCCCCAGTCCACAACACATAAATTGAAATGAGCAGCTTCCTGTGGTTTTAAATACCTATTTCAAGGTCTTGTCTTCAAATACACCTTTCTGCTTTTGTCAGCCATTTTCTATAAATTGGACTTCTTCTGCTCAGTTATCAGAACACTATTTTATACAGCAAATGTTCCCCTTTTCTAGAAACACTATATGCCTATAACCACAGCACTTGGCAGGCTTAGGCAGGATTGCTATATGTTTAAGTCTGAGATCAGCCTAGGCTACAGAGCAAGTACATTCCAGGTCAGCCTGGAATATTGGGACCCTGTCTCAAAACACCAAAAGAAAGTCTGAGGGATGTGTGCTTTAACATTTGCCCACCCAGAGAGGCTTCTGCTGAGCAGCTGAGCCTGAGGACAGGACACTGCTCACCTCAGGGACCCCTGACAACCTCGCCTCTGCTAACCACTAGTTGGGAAAGGCACCTTTGATGGCAGAACCCTGGATGGCAGAACCCTGTACTAATGTCCCCACAAAGTGCTCTTTCATTTGTTTTCAGCTAATTCCTTATGAGGCAAGCTGAGCACACTGAGGTAGTCCTGACTTCCAGCTTTACCCTTAAACCTGGGCTCCATGACCCTCAGGCTCAGCATGCCCCAAGATGCGTCTATTCTTTTCTCCTTCAGTTATGAAGCTCAACCGAGTGTGTTCAAGAATGGGCCAGCTCCTGTGTGAATCTGCACAGGCTCCCAGAAGATAATCTCGAAGGTTCCTTTGTTCAAGGGCTGCAGTGTAGACACATTCTGTCTCCCCGAGGCAGCCTCTGGGCTTCCCCGACAGTTTTAGAGTGGAGCTCCATTCAAGTGGAGCTGGATTCTTGACCTCCAAGTAGAAAAAAATTTCAGAATGAGCTGGTCTGAAGCAGAGTTAGAGTTTATTGAAAACAAACAAACAAACAAACAAAAAACCAAACAAACATTTTAAGCACAAGGATTTAGAAAAAGAGGGGCAGGGGCAGAAAGGACACACTCCCCAGAGCGTGTGTCTCAGAGTCTCAGAGTCACAGTTCAGTGTCTTTATAGCAGCTATACGCACTGTTTCTGGTAGTGTTGGAACTGAGCCTAACGTGATTATGGCTCGTTTCCAGGAATCAGGATCACAGCTAAGGTGAAACCTTAGGGCACAGAGTTGCAAGGGAAGTTAAGACATTTTTACTGCAAAAATTAAAATAAAGGTTAGTCTTGTTTTTGAAATTCCCAGAAAATTCCCAGG